TTTTTTTTTTTTTTTTTTTTTTTTTTTTTTTTTTTTTTTTTTTTTTTTTTTTTTTTTTTTTTTTTTTTTGATGAGTGGGGGTTGAGTGGGGAGAGAACAATTCCAGACGAAAAACCAAAGCTAGAGTCTGTCAAAGGCAGAATAGAAAATCTGGAATGAAATCTGAAATGAGGTCCAGATAGTCAATAGCAGCAGATTATATCCCCTGGGCACACAGACTTCAAAACTGGAGTCAGCCTCAGTTCTAGAAGGAAGCCTCTTATACTCACTCTTTACAGAATAGGAACCAACTTTTTAATTTATCTTAAACTACGCCTGAGGCCCAGGCCTCTGACGAACAGATTCAGAGGCATGAGATGGAGAAACTAAAAGATACCTTAGAGATCACAGTTCAACTAATTAGTTTGACAAATGAAAGCACTCAGTGCCAAATCCAATGAAGGAAGTTGCCTGAGTTCACACAGTGCATAGCAGACTTAACACCAGAGTCCAGGTCTAGTTGTTCAAAATCTTACTCTCCTTATGCCACAGCACATAAATGGAAGATGCTGACCCAAGAGAAATCAAGTTCTGATGAGGATAAAGGATGGACCAACATTTGAATGAAAGACAAACATCTGATTAAAGCTAGCTCTTCTCAGGGGCCAAAGTAAACCAGAGAGATAGCATGAAAACAAGAGGAAAACAGTTCAAGAAGATGTCAACAGGTCAAAGGGGCCCAGAGATGGGAAATGCACATGTCTGCTCAGGCATGTCCGACTCTTTTGCAACCCCATGGACTGTTTCCCACCAGGCTCCTCTGTCCATGGGATTCTCCAGGCAAGAATACTGGAGTGGGCTGCCATTCCTTTCTCCAGAGGATCTTCCCGACCAAGAGATTGACGCTGAGTACATTGCGTCTCCTGCACTCCGGGGGAATTCTTTACAGTTGAGCCACTGGGGAAGCCTTGGGTGCAGAATGCCAAAAGCTCTATTTCCTCATTTCAGCTCTGTTCAAGGGGAAAAAGAAATGTTTCCTACCCAACTAAGGCCACTTTGCAATTCACTCTGATAGTAAAAATGGGGAATAAAATGCTCATTCTTTGAGAATGCTTTATATCATCATGTGGTACAAGGATTAAAATCAAGACTCAATATTAAGCGTTGGGTGTCATTGGTGGCACAGTGATAGAGAATCCACCTGCCAATGCAGGAGACTAGGATTCAATCCCTGGATTGGGAAGATCTCCTGTAGAAATAAATAGCAACCCACTCCAGTATTCTTCCCTAGGAAATCCTATGGGCAGAGGAGTTTGGCAGGCTACAGTCCCTGGGGTCACAAAAATTCCAACACGACTTAGTGAATAAACAGCAACAACAAATTAAGTGCTACCGTGATACCTGGTGAAATTGAGAGGGTTTTGAATGGCCCAGTTTCTCCTGACTCTGTTCCTGAGAATAAA